AGCCTGTGCTCCGCAACAGGAGAGGCCACAGCAGTGAGAGGCCCGGTAACTCTAAATGCAAAAAAAAAAAAAAAAAAAAAAAAGCTTTCATTTACGGTGGTTCTTATTAGGTGTGAAGCACGGTCACTCTCCACACCACTAGGGAGCAGTTACTATTATTGTGCCCATTTTACAGATGAGGAAACTGAAGCGCAGATAGATCTTCCTGAGACCAAGCTAAGACCAAGTCAGACAGAAGCTGGGAAACAAGAGGGCAGCACAGCAGGAGGGGGACCCTGAGTCCGGGGCTGGTGCAGAGGCATGTCCAGTCTGGTTGACCTCGGTGTTCCAGGGTCTGGGTGGGGCAGGGAGTGGGATGAAAGCTTCAGGGCAGTGGTGCTTTCCAGGAGGCCCCCACTAGACAATATGGGCTGCCGAGAGTGGATCAGCTCTGGGGAAAGTGGATGAGAAGGCTCATGCAGCTCCCCCCGCTGCCAGGGAGGACTCAGCGTCAGGCCTTGGTTCCCCAGGTAACCTGGAGCCGGAATAGGGGGTCGCCACCCATGGAGGACAGGGACAGATTGAAAGGGGGCCCTTGTGGGCATCACTTTTCTGAGACTCACCAGATGCCAGATGTATGAACCGACGGCTGACTCTTCCCTGACATCACTTGCTAGTGGGGAGGCTCCCCCATGTTCCTTCCACTCTGGCTCCCCCAGAGGCTGCGGGTGACATTGTGCCAGCAGTGTGGGCCGACAGGGACCAGTAGGTACCCCCAGGCCCCTCACACTGGATGTCTCAGGTCAGTTTCCGTGATTCTTGAATGAGTGGTTTATTGAAACAGTGCTCTCAGGGGAAATACTTGTAAGAAAAGTGCTATGGTCTGAATGTTTGTGTCCCTTCGAATTCATACGTTCACATACTAACTCCCAGAGGTGATGGTATTAGGAAGTGAGGCCTTCGGGAGGTTTTTAGATCAAATCCCTCATGAATGAGATTAGTGCCCTATAAAAGAGAGCTCCCCATGTGCCTTCCATCATGTGATGACACAGCGAGAAGTCCGCAACCCAGAAGAGGGCCCTCACCCCATCATGCTGGCACCCTGAGCTTGGACGTCCATTTCCATAACTGAGAAAAAAAATTCTGTTGTTTATAAGCTACCCTGTCTGCGGTATTTTTGTTATAGCAGCCCACACAGACTAAGACAAAAATGGTGAGGGGGCAATTCTCTGCAAAAGAGGGCAGCTGTTGGCCGTTAAGTCACCCTCGCAGCAGCTGGGGCAGGTAGCAGGCTTGGTACAGGGATCTGGGTGGGCACAGCACCGCGCAGTGCCCATCTGCGGGGTCGGCAGTGGGACTGCTCACAGGGCCTCCCAGGAACTGCTTGGTCCCTGGGTAAGCACTGCTTTTTCGTGAAGCGGCAGCAAGTGCCCCAGCATCAACAGAGCAGGAGCGGCCCTGCTAACAAGCTCCGTGAATCCATAAGGGCTGAATTTTACAGCAGGCGGCTTGCATTTTGAAAGTCAGCATTTGCAGCAAGTAACTGAGGTAGTGACATGTGCAAACCTCCCACCGAGAGCTGGCCTCTTGGCACAGGACTTCCGGAACCCCACAGCTTGGAAACAGTGGGGTGTCTGTGGCCCAGAGAAACACAAAGCTTAGAAGCAGCAGCCCATGTGTGCCTCACACTCCCCGGGTGGAATTCCACCTGGGAGCTTCCACCAGCCACCATGCTCCATCAGAAATCCTTCATCCAAATCTGGGTTGGTCCTTTGCCTCCTGGGCGTGGTGCCCGTCCAAACACATTCTCAGCAGGACCTCTCAGGCTCCTGCCATGAGCATTCTTCTCTTGGGCTCAGAAAATGCAAATAAACAACTCGTTGCTTTTGATCAGGCCAAAGACTGCCCCTCGCTTTGGCCGGCCTGTCTTCCAGCTGCCTCCTCGGGGGTCCTGGGAGGAGTGTGCACGTGGGTGGGTGTTGAGGGGAGACGCAGATAAGGGAAGACCCATCGCGGCATTCAACAAGAGCTTTGAGATTGAGGTCAGCGTGGGCACAGCTCTTCCTCCAACTGGAAAAGTGAAAACTTCAGCTGGCGCGTGTTCTCTCTTTAGCTGCACAAGGTCATCAGAAGGACAGTGGTTATGTTCATGGAGCCAAAGAAGATGCTGCTTGGGAATTAGAACTAGAGACCATGGCGGAGGCTGTTCTGGGACCTGAGACATTTCCAAAGTGCTTCTTGCTGAGCTCAGGAAATAAAAGGACAAGGATTCTCTTTGATTCTCATGATGAAGTTAGACAACGGAGCCATATGTTCATTCTCTGCTATGACCTAGAACAGATTTATCTCTAATGACAGATTGAAGGCGGGTCATCTTCGCTCTGTCAACTTCTCCCAATTCCCTACATTATAGATGGAGGACTCGGGTTCCTGGAGGTGCTGAGGCATTTCAGCTCTGCCCACACGATCCCAGCCTGTCCGTGTGGCACCTCTCTGGACCAGTCTCTACTCTCCCACCTTCGCAGGTAAGTATAAGGGCAGCACACTCTGAAATTGGCAGAAGCGGGGGTGAGAAAGGGGGTTTCACTCTGACTCACCTTCACTCCCCCTTCCCTCTGTTGAATGGAATCCACGAGATATCTCATCAACTTTATCTGCGGTTGCCGTTTTATGTGGTTTCACTGATGTTAAAATACCACACGAGGGACTTCCTTGGCGGTCCAGGGGTTAAGACTCTGTGCTGCCAATGCAGGGGGCACAGGTTCGATCCCTAGTCAGGGAACTAAGATCCCACATGCTGTGCAGTGTGGCCAAAAGATAAAAAAGGAAAAGAAACCACACGTGAATGTTTACAGCAGCACTATTCACAGTAGCCTAAAGTGGCAGCAACCCATATGTCTACCAATGGATGAATTAATGAACTCAATGTGGCCTATACATATAGTGGAATATTATTCAGCCATAAAAAGGAAGAAAGTACTGATTCATGCTACAACATGGATGACCTTGAGGACATTATGCTACATGAAAGAAGCCAGTGACAAAAGATTACATTTATATGTGTGATTCCCTTTATATGAACCCTCCAGAATAAGTGAATGTGCAGAGACAGAAAGCAGAGAGGTTGTTGCCAGGGGCTGGAGGGAAGGGGGAATGGGGAGTGACTGCTTAATGGGTAGGGGGTTTTATTTTCTGATGTTGAAAATGTTTTGGAACTAGATAGAAGTGGTGGTCCCATGACACTGTGAATGTACTAAAAGCCACTGAATTGTGTACTTTAAAATGGTTAATCTTACTTCATATGAATTTCATCTCTGGCATAGACCAAATGTTTGTGTTCCCCCCAAACTCATAGTAAATCCTAACGCCCATTGTATTTGGAGGTGGGGCCTTTGGGAGGTGATCAGGTCATGAGGGCAGAGCCTCCCTGGATAAGATTAGTGCCCTTATAAAGGAGACCCCAGAGAGCTCCTGGCCTTTCTGCCACGTGGGGACCCAGTGAGACCGCCAGCTATGAGCCAGGAAGCCAGGCTCTCACCAGACCCTGGCCCCTTGATCTTGGACTTCCAGCCTCCAAAACCATGAGAAATAAATTTCTGTGGTTTTTATAAGCCACTCAGTCTATGGTGTTTTTGTTATAGCAGAATGAATGAACTAAGACAAACTGAATTTTAAAAAACAAACAAAACTGCAGCCCCTCTGCCCTCCAGGCAGCTGGGCTAGTTGATGAGAGACAGGCCCCTCCCTCCACACCACCCCCTCCTCTGGATTCCTCAGATGCGCCCTTCACCCTCAGGATCTGGGGGCTGAAAGAGAAATGCCTTCTGTCCTACCTGTCGTTACTGGGGTTCCTGGGGGAACAGCTAGTATTTCCTGATCACCTTACAGCTGAGCCAGCTCCAGCACTTTGTACCGTGTGACTTGTGGCCCCAGTACCGTCAGCCTTCAGCTTCCTCATCTACATATGCCAGCTCGCAGGGCTGATGCGATGATGAAGTAAGATAAGGCAGGGAGACCTCATTCGTAGTCAACACCATCATTTTAATGCTCTAAGCCCCCCTAGGACAAGAAAGAGAAAAAAATTCTTTTCTTATTCTACTCCACAGCTATAAGCCTCCTGTCCACCAGGGGGGGCCTTCTAAAAGAAAACATCACCAGTTCTCCCACCAGGAATCTGTTCCCTTAACTCCTTTTGCTTTCACTTTTTCACCTGCCCCTCCCCCTAATATGGTAGGACCTATTTTTTTTTGCAATAATTTGAAAGGTAGCTCTACTTGATCCTTGCCTACAGGCTGCTGGGGAATCTGGTCGACTGTTTTTTACCACTAGAAATTCTGTAGTTTTAATCTAAGTCGGGGGTCAGCAAGCTTTTCCTGCAAGGGTAAATGTTTTAGGCGTTTTAAACCATACTTTATTTACAAAATCAAGAGGCCGGCCAAATCTAGTCCACTGCCTGTAGGCTACTGGACAGCCCATGAGCTAAGAATGGCTTTTACATTTTAAAATAACTGATTAAAAAAAGAGAAATATGTGACATACGAAAGTTAATTTCAGATTGCAGTTTCCACAAATAAAGTTTTATTGAAACACAGCCGTGTTCATTCATTACCTAGTAGCTGTGGCTGCTTTTGAGCTCCAGTGTCAGAGGTGAGTAGTTGTGGCAGACCTATCTGACCTACGATGCCTAAAATATTTATTATCTTTCCCTTAAAAAGAAAACAAACTTTGCCAATCCCTTCTCTATACAAATTATGTTAGTGATTAAAGTCTACCACCAGTGAACGTGGAGTGACTGAACTCACGCTCGCCATTGTGCATATTAGTATAATTCTTTTATGGATAGATAGGGATCTTCCGTTTACCCATCTGTAAAACGATAATGACAGCACCATCTCCCGAAGTTGTCGTGAGCAGTAAATGACTTAATACATGAAGAGCAGCTAGAACAGTGCCTGGCATTATAAGTGCTCAATAAATGTGAACTCTAGTTCTGTTAGCATATAGACATGAATTTAAATAAATACAGAAAACCAAGACTTCTTCCCTCCATATTTATTTTGAAATGCGCTGTAAACAGTTTGGAATGTCCCTTTAAGAGCTTTCTGGCTTCCCCAGTATTGGATGACATGACAAGTTCTCCTTCATAGAAGGTACGAGTGAAACAGAACTGGAGGGGCATTCTCAACCCTTCCCTCTTCAGAAAGTGTGATCATATCAAGATGCATCCGGTTTTCAGTAGAACTGGCTCATGTTTCTTGGGAGTGAAGTGTCCAAGCCACTGTTCATCCATATTTCCTGGATGATTTGCTCCCTGCGCTCAATCCTTTCTGCCAGCTCTGCAGCCTCTATGGAACTGTAGACAGGATATGTAGTCCTACGAAACCCTGACAGTTCCCCCGGAAAATCGGAGTCGGAGGAGTCCTCCTCCCCCTCCTCATCCTGGCTGTCCTCCTCGGCTTTGTCGCTTCCTGGCACCAGGTGCTCCCTCGCCAGCTGCAGCTCCCGGAAGTCCTTGGTGCAGGACACTCTGATGACCAAGGCACACAGTGTGAGTGCAAGACCGATGCAAACACTGGACACGAACAGCAGGGCAGCTCTTTCAGGGTGGGCTGTAAGGGAAAGA